CTTGGTATTTCTCAAAAATCCCCAGTTTTTGCTAAAGTCATGGCTTCTAACGAAAAATAGAAGTGTTCCCATTTTGGCACTCCCCAATTGGTCAGCGTTTCCCAGTCGCAGGACTCAGCTTCAGCCAAAGTAACACTCCGCGGTCAAAATGAGGAGATTAATCACTCGAATGCGCCTCTTTTAGCGCTTCTGCAGTAAATTCAAAATTTCTGGATCTATTTTTCCATTCTTAAGCAGAGCTCTTTTTTACGCGCAGTGACTAAGTTTTTTTCTGCAGGCTAGGCACTGAGCCCTATTAGTAGGTTTTTCCACTCTTTCAGCTAAACTTCACTTTGCGGATGTTCTTGCTTGTTAACCTAATTTTTATCCTAAAAAATTTCCAGTACCTCAAAGAGCAAAAGAAAGGGAGGGTAAAGAACGAGGGATTAGAGCAGAAAAGTAAGGTGCACCAGACAAAGCTAAAACAGTTATCTTTGTAAGGCCTGTAGTTCTGTAGTCGCATCGCAAAAGGACAACACAGTGCGTGTACAGGCATAACTAGCCTCCAATGCGATTTTTACGAAAACGCAATAAAAAGGAATTTTTGCTACCTTGGCAAATCTTTTTCAATTTGTGCGCTTATCGATCGCTTATCGTTATCACACTGTTTAACTACATCGGCGTAACTGAATGTACTTGCAGCTTTCTTTTTTGTTGCACCGCAAAAGCGAGGCCACAAGAAGGGACGAAGCGAGTGAGCGATTCCAACTTCATGGATCAGACTGAGAATTTTTTCGCGATCCAACTTTTCGACATCCACTTTCGACCATGTCAACTCTTCCTTTACATCATCGTGTGCGAATTCAAGCAGTGCTATCCAACGCATCCTTAAAATGAACTTTTTGCAGTGCCGCCTAGCTGCGTGTTGCTACTTCTATTCAACTCCCTAACATTGTATGAGGCTGAAGAAAACAGTTAAGCGGGAGCATTCCCGGAACGGGAATTTCAGAGACAAAGGCAACGATTGAGCAGCCCGGGATTAAAATCCTAGAAGCTCGGGAGAGGGTGTCGTAAACCAACTTAGGCACCTTACGCGTAAAATATTAGTAACCAATATTTATGAAATGCATGAACTGTTTCTAAGGCTTAATCCAAGAGGGAAGTGAAGAGTGTTAACAACCTTGAGTTATCTTCCAGCACAAAAAGCAGACCGAAAGAAAGTAAATACGTCAATACAGGGAGCAACATCGATAGTTCCACGCCAGTTGTCTGGGAGATCCCTATTTTATGAATTCATCACTCGCGCATGCCAAAATATGTCCGAACTTTACTTCTTTTTGTTGAAAATTCAAACGCTACCGATTTTGAGATATTTCAATTGGCGGTAAATCACTGCCATTTGCTTCACACTCGATGTGGAACCCGAATTCATCGAAACTGCAAAATGAAAAGGTTGCCTTCTCAAACAGCAAATTTTTTGGCATGCGAGTAACACATAAGCTAACGCAGATCATGTAGTTCATTGTATGAATATTCAGTTTTAGTGATTTTTAAATAAGCATTCGACGAATACCGGCAAGTTACCACAACTTAGCATAGGAACGGTAGCATTTAAGAAGAGCCGAGACTGTTAGACACACACCAAAGGCGTTCCGAAGCAGCTAAAGCCTTATTAAGATGCTTCGTCGGAGGAACCATTCAGCTCGTAATCCCTCCAGAAGACGAGACGAATACCATGATCGCCAAGAGGCTGACCACCCACTTTTAACAAAAACACCATAGGAAGGTTACTGTATCGAACAGTTTTTTAAATTCATTGGCTCATGCTTGCATACTTAGATTTATGGCGCTGGCAATATCCATTGTAGCGGTGCAACCGAAATCCAAGAAAAATAGGTGCCATCATGCTTTAAAGATAACAGGTCTGAAGTGAATGGCAAAAAAAAACTTGATTTAATTGGACGGATATCAAATTCAGGTGTATGGTTTCTCTAAACCACACTAAATGACGAAAAATGAGTCTAAGTGATAGAACTAAATTCAAGTGCGAAAAAATATCATCAGTGCTAGTTAAAGGAGGGGAGATGAGGAAAGGGAGCGGAGGAAGGGGAGGAAAGCAGAGGGAGGGAGAGGAAGTGCGGTAAATCAGAACACGCATCGCTTGCGAAACCCTGATTGCATCCAGTTTTGTTAAGGTCAAGAAAATAGATAATGTCTGTTCCCAACAAAAAATATC